TCTGCAGTAAAAACAACTTGGTTAAAAGTGGTTAATACTACTTGCCCTCACAGAGGATTTACCCCCTTCCTGACCAGGCCTTTTTTTGTGATACAGTGCTGTGTTACTTTAACTGACAATTGTGTGGTCATGCAAAATTTATGTCATTTTTTTCCCACAAAATGGAGCTTTCTTTCAGTGGTATTTCATCACCTCTGCGGTTTTTATTTTTTGCGTTATAAACAAAAATAAAACAAAAATGATGGAAAAAAAACAATATTTTTGACTTTTGGCTATAAAACATATCCAGTAAAAAAAATCTAATTTCTTCATAAATTTAGGTCAAAATTTATTCTGCTATGTCTTTGCTAAAAAAAATTCCAATACATGTAAATTAATTGGTTTACATAAAAGTTATAGTGTCTACAAATGGCAGTATATTTACTAGAATGTTTAATTTTTTTTTTATACTAGTAATGGCGGCGATCAGCGACTTATAGTGGTGAGTGGTGGGTTGGTTGTGGCGGTCATTGTGACACTGGGTGGAAACTAAATCACTGCCACTGACATACCAATGACACTAATACAGTGACCGGTTGTGCTAATAAAAAGCACTGACACTGCACTAATGACACTGGGCAGGAAGGGGGCGTTTAACATTTGCGGCGATCAAAGGGTTAAACTGTGTGTTGTGTTTTACATCATGTGCTGTGTGTATTTTAATAGAGAAACACCAGAGAAATACACAGCAGCATATCCTTGCTGGCAGGAGACAGACCTGTGTTACAGGTCTCTCCCCTGTCAGTGATTGCCGGGTGCCAGAGGGGAATCTAGGTGACTGACATCCCTAGCCGCCATCCATAGCGCGCCCCCCTACTTGGACATGCAAATCACGTATACAGGGCCGTGGATAAGGGGGGTACCACCAGTCCTCCTGTATGGGGCCCAGGCCAGCAGGGGGGGCCCAGGCAACTAGGTGAATGTTATGTGGGCAGTAAGAGTGATCAGCACAGCATTGGTGGCAAAAATACTGGAACCAATTCCCTGTATGGCTCTTTCTGCAGCAGCTTAAAACTGATTTCTTATCCTCTCCCTCCCTCTGACTTTCAGCTGCTGTAGAGAGAGCCATACAGGAGATCGGATCCAGTAATTGCACCTCCACCGCATCCATCTCCCTCTGTGTCGTGCGCTATACATTTCCCCTGCTGCCCAAGCCCCACTGTGTGTCCCCACCCTCACAGTGCTGCCAGCTTCTCTCCTCTCCTTCCCACCTCCAGCTGCAAGTACACAATAGGATCCTTTAGGATGGAGAGTGGGGAAAGGGTCTGGTAAATAGGTCACATTTATCAGCCCTTCCTTTCCTGAATGAACACAATGAGTGATCGCTACTAATCACTCCCTGTGTTCATTCATAACTGAAGCATAGTAAACAGGGGGGGCAGGGGCCCTGTCAGGTTGGCTGCATGGGGCCCCTTGGTTTCTAACAGCAGCCCTGCATGTATATATACGTGATTTTTCACAACCCTGCTGCCCTGTAAGCAGTAGTTCTACTATAGAGCAGCTGGAAAGTGGTTAAAGAGTCTCTAAAAAACTTGAAACAATGGCTTTGAAATAACAGAGCTCAACTTGTAGGTGTATGCCATCTGGTCCAGGTGCTTTATTTACCTTTATTTTGTCTGAATGTTTCTGGACCATATCAAATTTAAACCATTGTGAATAATTTGGGGTTATGTCAATACTATCCCCACTATGGACTTGAGCTATCATCATTTTCATTCGTATATACACAGAACTAAAGAAGGCATTTAATACATTTGCCTCCTCTTTGTCTCCAATCACTTAAATTGTGCTTGTACTCTTGCTCAGACCCTGACTTTTTTACTATCAATATATTTGAAGAATTTTTGGGGGGTTTTCCTACTCTCTTTCACAACTTGTCTTTCAGTTTAATTGTGGCCTTGATTTCTGCTTTACATATTTTGTTATATTGTTTGTACTGTTTCAGTGATGATAGTGTTCTTTCATTTTTATATTTTTCAAATGTCCTTTTCTTATTCTTTATCGCCTTTTTAACTTTGGACGTTGATCCACATAGGTTTTACTTTTAGCCTTTTAAATGTATTGCCTGTTTGAATATATTTTGCAGTGTAACTGTATTTAGTTAATCTGAAGCATTCCCATTTCTGTTCTGTGTTCTTCATTGATAACATTCTCTCCCAGTCTAATGTTGGAGAGACGCCCTCAGCCTTGGAAAATGTGTTCCCCTTAAAAGTGTTTTTATCTTTCCAGTATGTGTTTGTTGTGTATCGCCACCCTTAAATGAAATCATTTTATGGTCACTGCTACCCAGATGTTCTTTTATATGAATATTAGTAATAAGCTCTGCAATATTTTAGATTACCAGGTCCATCAGAGCATCATTTCTACTTGGGGCATCTATAAAACTGTACCATAAAATTGTCTTGTAATGGGTTTCGAAATTTCCTTCTTTTCACTATCCCAGCAGTGTCAATACTCCAGTCAATTTTAGAGTAGTTAAAATCTCCCATTATTGCTATTGTCAACCCATTGCCACCTGCATCCTTTTCTATCAAGGAGCTGAGTCTCTACCTCCTCATTAATACTGGGTGGCCTGTAGCAAACTTCACTAATTGACTCTGAAGTATATGCAGCTCCACCCATAATGCTTCAGCCTCATCATACTCACCATCCACAAGGTCCTCTTTTCACTTTGAGATCACTTCTCACATAGAGACAGACACTGCCATCTTTGCATTTTACCGTCTCCTGAAAAAGAGTATAGTCAGCTATTTTATTAGCAGCCGGTTGTGAATAGAATGAAGTCAAGATTCAGCAATACTATTTAATACATAGTCCTCTTCATGCACCAAAGCTTTCAACTCTTGTATTTTGGTTGGCAGACCAATATTGGTGAAAAAAACACTTTAATGCATTGTTGCATTTCCACTTGTATGCTGGCTCACAGTAAGTATGTAAAATATATCAACTCTTGAGTTCAGCTTTAATAACAGTCATTCTTTCATCAGAGCTGTGGGGTTTATTTACTAAAGCTGGAGAGTGCAAAATCAGGCTCACTTCTGCATAGTAGCCAATCAGCTTCCAACCTCAGCTTGTTCAATTAAGCTTTGGCAATAAAACCTGGAAGCTGATTGGTTTTCTATGCAGAAGTGAGCCTGGTTTTGGACCTTCCAGCTTTAGTAAATAAACCCCTGTGTGTTTTTCATTAAAAATAACCCCATACTTTCTCCTTAGATAGCACAGTATAGTATCACTGCACAACCTTGCCTTGACCTCGTCACAAACCTCCAAGATGTACAGCCACACTTAAAGTGAACCTGTGGTAAGGATAGTGACATTAAAGTATTAACATATCCTTAACAAGCAGTACATGAGCTTTAAAACACACCCACACTGTCCTTAGCAGCTGCAGATCCTGTAGAGTGATTAATCATCAAAGATCACTCTAAGGTCAGGTTTCATTCTGCTTCTAACAAGCTGAATAGTTTACATTAAAGAGCTGGAAATCTGGCAATTCCCTACTGCCAGAGGAACCAAGGGAAGATAAGATGTGACTTCAGTGCCTTTGTTGTGAACATTGAGGAAGAAGTAATCCATAGTGCCTGAAGCTATAGGGGCCAATGAGGGCTTGTATTAACGCCTATTTACTGTGCTTTTAAGAACATGTCAATAGTTGACTGTCCATTGCTGCAAGTTTACTCTCCGCTGAATGTTCTCATCCAGTGTACGTATGTCATACAAAAGGAAAACATGTTTACCTACAGCCCTAGTCAAACATTATGACTTAAAATTTGACCCTTTTTTGTTTGGACATCATTTGAGTTGAACGTATTATTTTAATTTATTTTTAGTAAATATTCAATTTTTAAACCTCTATTGATTGTAATCTAGACTAGACAGAACTGCCAGATGGAAAGGTCTACAGTAATGGACATTTTTTTCCACAAATCAATGTCAGGGCCTTTCTTCCTTCACCACTGTTAACCCCATATTTTACAAGGCACCACAATGAAACTCTTCAAATCAATGTGGTGTACCACAATCATTGGCACTGTTTCGGGCACACACTGAAACTATTAGATACATTTCATGTTGCACTAAAAGGCCTGCTCTACTCTTCCAACCCCCAGGATTGCTGATTTACAGAGGTTCCCAGGAGTGTCCCTGTCAAAGATATCTCATCAATTTGTGAAATCACTGATTATTAAAGAATATGTATACCCAACATTTCAAATTCCTGACATGTGCCTGTGTACCTTGTACTTTTATGAAAAAGTATCCTGTTCACTTTGTGTTGCTTCCTTTGTGTGAAATTGGAAATGGGAACGCAGCCTGCTCTCCTCCACTGATTTGACTTGTCCTGACACATATATATGTGTCCTGGATTAATATATATATATATATATATATATATATATATATATATATATATATAACACAATATACTACAATGCAGATACTCATCCTAGATCATTGCATCTCTTCAGTGAATCAGGCTACATGGGAGGGCCACCCTACAGTGAAACAAATGTTGGTAAAGCTGGCAGAGTACAAGAAGGTCAAGAGGTGTTGACTGAAACTTAAACAGTATTAAAGATAGTTACCAGCCATGCTTACATGTATAGTTCAGCTGTTATTTATACTATCAAACACTCCTTTTCCCATAAAAAGTATTTTTGCATTTGGTGCCAAATAAGTAGCTATTGCCAAGAGCTGCAGTTTCACTTTGCTTTTTTTTGCACTGTGACTTACAGTATATTTGTCTAATGGTTGAGTGAAGATTAAACAAAAAATAAAAGTACAAAAATAGTAAAAATGTGTAATAGAACAGAACCATGAGCAGCATATTACTTTATTGAGTTTACAAACCTTAAAGAAGTGGAACTTCTCTGTCTCTGGTCATCCCCTGCACTGTCTGCAGTCTCCTGGTCATCCCCTGCACTGTCTGCAGTCTCTTGGTCATTCCCTGTACTGTCCGCAGTCTCTTGGTCATCCCCTGTACTGTGTCTGCAGTCTCTGGTCATCCCCTATACTGTCTGCAGTCTCTTGGTCATCCCTTATACTGTCTGCAGTCTCTTGGTCATCCCCTGTACTGTCCACAGTCTCTTGGTCATCTCCTGTACTGTCTGCAGTCTCTGGTCATCTCCTATACTGTGTCCGCAGTCTCTGGTCATCCCCTTTACTGTCCGCAGTCTCTGGTCATCTCCTATACTGTGTCCGCAGTCTCTGGTCATCTTCTGTACTGTCCGCAATCTCTGGTCATCACCTGTACTGTGTCCGTAGTCTCTGGTCATCTCCTGTACTGTCCGCAGTCTCTGGTCATCTCCTGTACTGTCTGCAGTCTCTGGTCATCCCCTTTACTGCCCGCAGTCTCTTGGTCATCCCCTATACTGTTCGCAGTCTCTGGTCATCTCCTGTACTGTGTCCGATGTCTCTGGTCATCTCCTGTACTATGCCTGCAGTCTCTGGTCATCTTCTGTACTATGTCCACAGTCTCTGGTCATCTCCTGTACTGTGTCTGCAGTCTCTGGTCATCTCCTGTACTGTGTCCGCAGTCTCTGGTCATCTCCTGTACTATGTCCGCAGTCTCTGGTCATCTCCTGTACTGTGTCCGCAGTCTCTGGTCATCTCCTGTATTATGTCCGCAGTCTCTGGTCATCTCCTGTACTATGTCCGCAGTCTCTGGTCATCTCTTGTACTATGTCCGCAGTCTCTGGTCATCTCTTGTACTATGTCTGTAGTCTCCAGTCATCAGGAGATGACCAGAGACTGCAGAAATAGTACAAGAGATGACCGGGGAGACTACAGACATAGTACAGGAGATGACCAGAGACTGCGGACACAGTACAGGAGATGACCAGAGACTGCGGACACAGTACAGGAGATGACCAGACTGCGGACATAGTACAGGAGATGACCAGAAACTGCGGGTAGTACAGGAGATGACCAGAGACTGCGGACATAGTACAGGAGATGACCAGAGACTGCGGGCATAGTACAGGAAATGACCAGAGACTGCGGACATAGTACAGGAAATGACCAGAGACTGCAGACATAGTACAGGAAATGACCAGAGACTACAGACATAGTACAGGAAATGACCAGAGACTGCAGACATAGTACAGGAAATGACCAGAGACTGCAGACATAGTACAGGAGATGACAAGCGACTGCGGACATAGTACAGGAGATGACCAGAGACTGCGGACACAGTACAGGAGATGACCAGAGACTGCAGACACAGTAGAGGAGATGACCAGAGACTGCAGACACAGTACAGGAGATGACCAGAGACTGTGCAGACACAGTACAGGAGATGACCAGAGACTGCAGACACAGTACAGGAGATGACCAGAGACTGCGGACATTACAGGGGATGACCAAGAGACTGTGGACAGTACAGGGAATGACCAAGAGACTGCGGACAGTGCAGGGGATGACCAGAGACTGCGGACAGTACAGGAGATGACCAGAGACTGCAGACAGTGCAGGTGATGACCAGAGACTGCTGACAGTACAGGGGATGACCAAGACTGCAGACAGTACAGGGGATGACCAGAGACTGCTGACCTTTGGGGAGGGAGGGGGAGCGGGTACCTGGATTTGACAGGTACCCGCTCCCACTTCCGCTGAGTTATCCTCCCTTTAGTGTGGGCTCTCGGCTGTGACAGCTGGGTGCCCAGTGTGCATGCACAAGAAGCGCTGCGCTTTGTGATTGGTCTAGCGTCTTCTGGGACCTGTCATGTGTCCCAGAAGACGCCGTACCATTCACAAAGCACAGCGCTTCTCGCGCATGCGCACTGGGCACCCGGCTGTCACAGCCGAGAGCCCACACTAAAAAAGCCGGTGTGGGAAGACTGCGCAGCGCTGGACTGAGGAACAGGTAAGGTTCTACTGCAGAGAAGAGCTGAGCGGCTGGCCCGGTATTCTGACACGGTGGTGGTGGAAATACCGGACCGGCCGCTCCATAGTCGCTCCATAAGACGCACTGACATTTTCCCCCCTTTTTTGGGGGGAAAAAGTGCATCTTATGGAGCGAAAAATATGGTAGATACTCAACATGTTAAACCTTAAATTTGTGCAGATCCGTGAAATGGCAACAAACTTCATTACCCTATATTTTCTATAGGTGACACTTCAAAAGCCCCTACAGGTCATCAGTTTAGTGTTATGGAGAAGGTATTGTACTAACATTATTGTTGTCACTCCGGTGTGCGCGGCGATTTATAACATGTTAATCGCACATATGACGTGTGAGTTTCGTACAGGCATATATGTGGGGGTCTTCAAAATATTTTGGGGGGGGTGGTGTTATGTGCTTGGGTGTAACTTTATTTTTTGCAATAGAAAAAAACATTTTATGTAATTTTTGTTTTCATCACATAGGGGACACTAAGTCCCCTATGTGATGATTTTTAGGTGACAGATTGTCTTTATGGAGACATGCAGGGACTAAAAGAGCCTGCATATCTCCTCTGGTCTCCATTACTGTAGATGTATTGCAATGCAGATTAGAATTGGCTATGGACAATGACAGCCATGACCCAGAAGTGACGACTTACCCGTCGCCTTCTGGGTCACAGAAGGAAGGGGAGGAGAGCAGATATTCCTCCACCCGCGGGCACCACCATGGCGCTCCCCGGGCCCACAGATAGGCAAGTGGGCCCAGATACATGGCAGGAGTGTACACACGTGGGGGGGGGGCACCGGTACTTGGGGCTGTGAAAGTGATTGGGCATCAATGTAGCCACCCGACTGCTTCCACCTTACAGGCAGGAGGCTGCCTGTCAGTATTATACACAATCCTGGTGGCTATTTTTAATAACATTAAATTACAATTTGACTTGGGTCGCAATTGTATATGCTATATTATTTTTTTTTCTTTTCTTTTTTCCCCTATGAAAGTGGAGTTACCCTGTAAACCAAATCCTCCAAAGATATGCTAGCATAATTCCATTGACTCAATCTGACCTCAGATAAAACTATGGAGGGCACTTCAAAGTGGGGAATATTGATGTACAAGAAAAATTCCTAGGCACTGTCATGGTACCTTACAAGTCTGAGAAAGCCATTTGTTGTTGAGAGAGTAAAATGTTTAGACCTGCCTTATGTTTCATGTGGACATCAGGTCTGAAACTGCACTCCTCCACTTGGAGTTAAATTGCCTTTCCTTGAATTTAGATTTAGATTTTTACTATGAATTGCCCACCCTGAATCCATGTACAATATACAGTGCTTTGAAAAAGTATTCATACCCCTTGAAATTTTCCACATTTTGCCATGTTACAACCAAAAACTTAAATGTATTTTATTGTGATTTTATGTGATAGACCAACACAAAGTGGCACATAATTGTGAAATGGAAGGAGAAGGATAAATGGTTTTCAAAATTGTTTACAAATAAATCTGTGAAAAGTGGCATGCATTTGTATTAAACCCCCCGGAGTCAATACTTTATAGAACCACCTTTTGCTGCAATTACAGCTGCAAGTCTTTTTGGGGATGTCTCCACCAGCTTTGCACATCTAGAGAGGGACATTTTTGCCCATTCTTCTTTTCAAAATAGCTCAGGGGTGTACTCACGTTTGTTGCCAGCGGTTTAGACATTAATGGCTGTGTGTTGAGTTATTTTTTGAGGGGACAGCAAATTTACACTGTTATACAAGCTGTACACTCACTACTTTACATTGTAGCAAAGTATCATTTCTTCAGTGTTGTCACAGGAAAAGATAGAATAAACTATTTACAAAAATGTGAGGTTGGACTCACTTCTGTGAGATACTGTACATAACAATACACTTAACTGCTTAGAACCTCAGTAGAAATACTGCTACAGGGTGGTGCAAAATCACTTATTTATATGCGTGATTTTGCATTTCCGGGTAGGGGGCGTGCACACGCCACCATTAGTGGCTTCAGCTGTCGATAACCGGGTCTGGAGATTCTCCCCGCCAGGACCCGGTGGTCGCCGAGTATCACTGACGAGGGATAGGTCTGTGTGTGTAAACAATACAGATCTCTTCCCTGTCAGCTCCTGCATGCTGCTCTGTATTGCTCTGCATCTGGGGTGTAATCTACCGCGAGGCAAACAAGGCGTTTGCCTAGGGTGGCAATTTTTAGGGGGACGGCACCGCCCCCCCCCGGAAGAAGGGACCTTGAGAGCAGCGGCAGGCAGAGCCATGCAGGGCCGCCAGCAGAGGGGTACCTTCGGTACTCTTTGCAGTGGCCTGGAGGACAGCAGGAGGATCGATGTGGGGGAGGGCAGTTGCAGAGCAATGCTCCTGTACCTCTCCCTGTACCTGACGAGCCGGGACCAGGGGACAGCCTGGAGCAGGGAGAGGAGAGGATCCTAAGAAGGTGAGCTGTGCTGTGGTCTCTGGGATCTCCCTGTCTTCTTCCCTGCACTGACAGATCGTATGGGACTACACACACTCCCCCCCCCCCCCCCCTCCTTCCTGCTGCACGGAGATAAGCAGCCCTTGGAGGAGGTGTGTGTGTGCAACCTCATACAATGTGAGAAACGGAGAGGGAAGAGAGAGGGGGGAGAGAGAATAAAGAGAAAGAGAGAGGGGGGGGGAGAAAGGGGGAGAAGAGAGAGGGAAGAGAGAGAGAGGAGAGAGGGAAGAGAGAGAGAAGAGAGTGAGGGGGAGAGGGGGGTAGAGAGAGGGGGGGGGCGAGAGAGTTAGAGAGAGGGGAAGAGAGAGAGAGAAGGAAGAGAGGGGGGGAGAGAGAGGGGGGCGAGAGAGAGGGAAGAGAGAGAGAATCATTTATATATAAAAGTGTGTGTATATATATATATATATATATATATATAATAATATATATATATATACACATGGGCAGACTGACAACTCATGGGGCCCCTGGGCAGTAGGGGATCATGGGGCCCCTGTGTCCTTGCCCAAACTCAAAAAAACCTATGAAAAAGGTACCAGAGGCATCTCATGGGGCCCCTTACTGACCCTGGGGCGCCAACCCTCGGGCAGTGTCCCGGGTTTCCAAATGGCCAGTCCACCCCTGTATATATATATATATATATATATATATATATATACACTTATTGACTCTCTCGCTCTTCTCATTGGGGGGGGGGGGCTGCAACATTTTTGTGTTGCCTGGGGGCAGCACAAAGTCGAAATACATCACTGCTCTGCATAGCTTACACTGTAAAACACACACACAAACACACTGTAATACAGCGCACAGTTAACCCTTTGATCGCCCCAGATGTTAACCCCTTCCTGCCCAGTGTCCATTAGTACAGTGTCAGTGCATGTTATTAGCACTGATCACTGTATTAGTGTCACTGGGGATGTCAGTGGCAGTTAGTCAGTTCCCCCCCAGTGTCAGAATGCCGCCGCAGTCACGCTATAAGTCACTGATTGCCGCCTTTACTAGTATAAAAAAAACCTCCAGTAT